CCCGCCGATAGATGAACGATTCCAGCCACTGGCCATCACCTGGATCTCTCGGGTTTTGGGGGTAGGGCATCTAGCAAGGAAATCGGCCATCCCAAAGGACGATCCTCTTCGTCGCCCTCGGCTCATCCCCCTCCTGGGCACATTTTCTCACATACCCCCCTCTTCTCTCGCCGCTGAGGATTCCTCACCTGGAACACTGGAAGATGAGGAAGTTAAGAACGAATTTTGGACTCGCACTAAGCAGCATGGCATTACATATGTATGGGCCCCGGCCAGAACGATGTTTTCCACGGGGAATGTCACGGAAAAAGACAGGGTATCGAGATTAGGGAGAGAGGGCGAAGTAGTGGTGGATTTGTTTGCTGGTATTGGCTACTTTTCCCTTGTTTTTCTCAGTCGATGCCGTGCAAGACGGGTCCATGCCTGCGAGTGGAACCCATGGAGTGTCCAGGGTTTGTGTCGCGGGGCCAAAGCCAACGGTATCTCTTACACGGTTCACGGGGATCAGGAAACGGAAGAAATCGAGGATCAATCGGAACCCCGGATGATCATCTACCCTGGAGACAATGCCTTGGCTGGACCACATTTTAAAGGACAGGCTGATCGCGTTCACCTCGGACTCTTACCTGATGCTGAAGGATCTTTTGCCCTAGCATGCCGCTCTCTTCGATCTACTGGGGGTTGGATGCATGTCCATGCCAACGTTCTGGATGGTCGGGAAAAGGAGTGGGGCCACAGGGTGGAGGGGCTGTTACAGGGTCATTTGCAGCATGCTCACCCCTCCCCTACAGCTTGGCGGGTCCAGGTAAGATGGCTTGAACGGGTCAAAGGGTGGTCTCCGGGTATTGGGCATTGGGTGGCCGATGTAGAGTGTTGGAGGGGGAATGAAGAGTAGATGTGTGTCATAAATAAAAGAATAGCCAAGAATTTTGGACGGGGTTTCATTTATAGCATGTATACACACACGGGCCATTCCGGCGAGAGAAGAGGGGGGTATGTGAGAAAATGTGCCCAGGAGGGGGATGAGCCGAGGGCGACGAAGAGGATCGTCCTTTGGGATGGCCGATTTCCTTGCTAGATGCCCTACCCCCAAAACCCGAGAGATCCAGGTGATGGCCAGTGGCTGGAATCGTTCATCTATCGGCGGGTTCAGAAAGGCCGTCGGGGAAAGGAGGGCAAAATCCTGGTAAAGCTCCCAGCGTTCGGGAATCCCCTGGATTTGGGTCTGGATAATCTCTTCCTCCAGCCTGGGTTCAACCTCTCGGATGGACTGGGCAAAGAGACGTTGGATAGTAGAGCGTGGTACCTCTCCTTTCCGGGCCAGCCGAATTCGACCCGCGTTGCCTTCTTGGGTTACCTGTAGGGGACTTGGGGACCTCCAGGTAACCAAGAGGTCACCTGCCCGGCCCAGATCCTGGAGATCCTGGGAAAGTAGGCTCAATATTGCGTCCGAAACCCCCTTGGTACCCTCCTCAGACCCTGGAAGAGCGGACGAGAGGTCTGGGCTTGAAGGTCCTTCTAGTGGAAAGGCCACTCGTGCCTGCGAGGTCGAGCTGGCCACCTTGACTATCTGGCCTTGTTTATCCCTCCATCCAAATAGATCCAATTGAGTCTTGACCCGTTTTGCGCTCGATGAGGGCGATTCCAAGAACCAGGGCATGTCCGATAGTAGAATGGATGGTTCGAAGAGAGCGAAGAAAAGATGCTCAGTTTAGCAGGACAAGCGGTGATAAGTCGCGAGTCTCTACATTCCTTGATCAATCACTACTCATTTCTTGATTAGTTCACAACGCTTCTCCGCCCAATCAGTCAATCAACACGCATGTAGTTTCCATGAAAATAGGCAGCAGATGTACATTCATTGAACAGGACCACCCACGTAAATCGACCATTGTAATCGAGGGAGGCCGCCCATGGCCTTGTTCAAGGATCTCCCACCTATCACGAACACCGCCATCATACCTAGACACGTTCTTTAAAAATATTGAAGCTATTCTACTTGCCTCGTCCCAAGCAAGTATAATCGCTGATTCTACGTGAAAGTTTATGTGTTTCTACCAGGTAATCTCATATGCCTTTTATTACATCTTGGAGAAAGTAGCTTTCAAGCTGTTTACCTATAAAACCATATTACTCGCTAAACATTCTTGAGTTTGTGCATGCATCCATTAGGGAAAAGTTTAAATAATTACTCAACTTGAAATGACAGTAAGGGTCTATTCTCCTCATCTTAACTCACTCACTCATTCATTCTTATAAAGTAACAAGAGGCTACATAGATAACCCTCATTCTCCTCCTAATCATTGCTTCTTGCTATCCTTCCTTTCCCAAATCATCATGATCATGATCATCACCATCAGTCAGTGTGTCCGAGAGGTCTAAGGAGTTGGGTTTATGTTCCAATGGGTCTTACTGACCTTCGCGGGTTCGAATCCTGCCGCTGACGATTCATGACCCAGTTGTCCATGAAGATGAAAAGGGTACAATTTGGTACGTCTGAGAAACCCAAGGAGTTGGAACTACGACCTAATAGGCCTCAAGATCATCGCGGGTTCTTGAACCTTATCACTGATGATCAATGATCATATACGGGATGACTGATCTTCACATCAATACTTCTGGGTGGTCTAAAGATATGGTTTTGCGCCCCAATCGGCTTTACGTGTCTTCACAGGCTTGGATCTAGTCACTAATGATTATGGATGACTTACGATGGATAATATATGTTTTAGCAAATAGATATATGATGATCCTGATCATGTTCCGTCAGACTGCCACTGAGAGATCTGTATATTAGCCTAGCCCCTATGAACTGCGCTTTAAGTATGGGATGCACTTGTGCCACACATCTCAACATCACACTCTGCACATCAGCTCTAATCATCAATCATCCTAAAAAGAGGGGTGTTGTGGAAGCCAGCAAGTCAAACATAGCTGTTCCTTGCTCCTTTTCCTTCTTTCCCGTCTCCTCCTACTTTAACATGACTACAGCTGCCCGCCCAACCTTTGATCCAGCCAAAGGCCGTGCCACCATCTCTCTGACTAGGCAATACGCTGCCAGGGATATTGCTGCTCATACCAAGCTCAAATACCGGTACGGCTCAGAGGGCGTCATTCCTGTCTATACCTCTGATCTATTGACATACTCACCTTGCCGTTATTCCCGTAGAGATGAGGTACCTGGACTTGGGGATCCCGAGGTGGATGAGGAAGCACTGCGGGAGGATCTTCGTCGTCGGGAGGCCAAGCATTACGAACAGCGTCGTGGAAAGGCTGATTTATCCATCAAGGACAAGGAGCAACTCGAGGAGCTAAGTAAGCTGAGTACCCTTGATGCTCCTGATTCCTCTTCGGATGAGGAAGGCGACGACAGCGGTGAGGACGATGATGGGGATACAAGGTAGGTGTGCTTTTCACGTTACCCTTTTTTTTGTAAGATCGTTTTACTCGAAATCTTACCTCCCACTCACAATGTATCACTGGCCGCTTTTAGTGAAGAAGAGGACGATGATGATGACGAGGATGACGATGCAGAGTTACTTAGGGAATTGGAAAAGATTCGACGGGAAAGGGCTGAAGAGAAAGAAAGAGTCAAGGGGGAGCAGGACGAGGCCCAGGCCGAGACGAGAAGGCAGCAGGCTGTTACCGGAAACCCTCTTCTTCAATCTGGTGATTTCACCATGAAGCGCAGGTAAGTAGTAGGCAAACTGCTTTGTTGATGGGATTGGAAGGATATTGAACTTTTCAACCCCGAATTCTAACAAATCGCTCCTCGCCAGATGGGATGATGATGTGATCTTCAAGAATCAGGCCAGGGGTGTGAATGACAAGGCTCCCAAGCGATTTGTTAACGACACTCTTCGGTCCGATTTTCACCGCAAGTTCATGCACAAGTACATCCGGTGAAATGTATGTGATTTTCTTTGGTTTTTAGTATTTATTTACCTGGTGATTTTGTACGAGAGATGGGACGATTCCCATGCACCATTACTTCCATCATCTCAAAGTGTCTTTTTATATTCTTCAGCCCCTAACCCACAACAAACACGCGTACGCATTGATACACGTAACCGACTTATCTTGGATAACTATTCCTATTCTATCCAAGGTAGAGGACAACGACCCTGACTCGGACTGTCCGTTTACAGCATGAACAGCAGCGAATTAACCGCACCAACATTAATTTCTCAGCGCTTCTAGCCGAGCCTGAACATCGTCCATCTCTGGATCCGCAGGCGCCTCCACTGCCACATCTGGTTGCTCGGGCTAAATGGGATAAATGAGACCTGGACCTCTCCCTTTCACACTGTTTATACCAAACTCTCTCCTCCCCACTTACCAATGCGCCATCAGCCAGGGCTGGGGCTCCGTGAAGTTTACCAGCAGTAATCTCATTCAGAACCCGATCTACTTCCTCGTCCGCCTCATCCTCCAAGGCGTCCTCGGCGTCATCTAGGCCTTCCAGGGTATCCTGCATCATCTCCTCCATGACTCCAGCCTTGGTCATCTCATAGGACATCTCTTGCATTTGTTGCGAGATTTGCGGGACTCGCATAAGTGAGTTGACCGCCTTCATTACATCTGTACTTTTGCTCAGAGTTCCCGATACCTTGACCATAGCTAATTCAATGGAGATGTCGTAAGAATAAGAACACATCCCATCCAGTTGAAGGCTTTCCTTTTCTTACCCAGCTGATGCTGCAGGGACAGGTTAATCGAGTTGAGCTGGGCCTTGCTCGTTGTCAGTCTCTCCCGGTGCTTCTTGGATCGGACAATTTCCTTGGCTAGTACTCGACAACCTTTGATGTCATTCTTCTTGGCCAGCTGCTTCACCGCTGTCTTAGTTTTTTGCTCTGCTAGCCCAAGCGCTCTAAGCTCCCGGTCCAATGTTCTTTCCTGTGCCCGGATGCTGCTTTTCCATTCTCGGACCTGCATGATCAAAGGGAGTAAGGAAGGCTGGACCACTGGGCACCCAGCACAATACAACTCACCATCTGCTCCGGAGTCTTTGTCCGGAATATCAGTCGTTGCATGGCCTCCATCTCGTTGGATTAGGTGCTGTGGGGCGAGAATAGTGGAGAAGAAAGGGAAATTTGGGGAGGAAGACAAACGGAAAGAAAAGAGAGGTGTGACCAGCTATTGAGGACGGGGTTCCTCTCAGGGGTTGACTTCTTCTCTGGAGGATGGACCGAGTCCAGCAACTGTCCCAGGCATTAGGTGACCGATATCAAACGAGGTTTTGGGCTGGCTTGGTCCAGGTTGAGAAATACTACTAACTTCTACCGCGAATATCCTTAAAACGCCTTGGACATGTCAACAAAAGACCTCATCGAAACTGACCTTTCTCATTCCTTTCCATCTTTCACCAGGCATCCTCTCCATTCCTTTTTTTCTATAAGGAAGTCCTCTTCATCATCTTACCTTCAAGTCATCGCTGATCACAAAGACAATCCTCAAACTTTCACCAGTGTAGTACTCGCGACTCTCCCAGAAATCACACTTCTCGTCTTTAGTCATATTCAGCCTTGAAGATGGGCAATTCCAAGGTAAGCTGTTAATTATATATCATTGAAAACCATGAACAAAACTCATGTTTAATCATCGCCAGAACCCGGCAGCCAGGGGCCGAGCCCATGTCGATTCTGACTTGATACCCATCCCTACGCCTGAGACGCCGCGTAAGAAACGTAGACGTGGTGTGCGAAAGGTTATCTCGGACGATGAAGATAACGCGGAAGAGGGTGACTTGACTACCCTTCGTCAGATACCCACATCCTCTCCTCCGGCCTTCCCTTCTCCTGGGCCCATACAGCCGACAACACCAACAAAGGTCAGCACATTGTGCCTTTCCAAAAATGGACTAGGAGCTTGTCGACTTACCCTCCCATCTCCCATGAATTGCAATGATCATTTAGAACTGGAGATTCTTTCTCTCGACACCAGGCCAATCTGTATCCAATCCTGGATCTACACATACAGTAGTACCATCAGGTAAAGTGGGCGTGTCATAAAAATGGGAAAATTATGAGTCTCCTTAATTCAAAACATTCTCCTTCCCATTTCCACTTGTCATCCTATTAGTCAATGAGCCACCATGGACGGAAAAGCATACACCTAAAATCATGGTAAGGACACCGAAAGGAGATGATACATTAGCCGGAAGTGTCAACTGATGCCCTATCCCCTCCTAGGATGATTTGGCTGTTCATAAGGCCAAGGTAGCTGAGGTGTTTGAGGCCGTGATGAACCTCAGAGATAGTACACCCGATTCGCCCCAAATTTTGGTTCTCTCGGGTCCAGCAGGCACAGGGAAAAGTACATGTTTATCATGTGTAGCCAGGATTTTGATGATGGACGTGGTGGAATGGTCGAACCCATCCTTCACTACCCCTTTCTCCAGAGTCCATCGGCAAGAGTATGGGCCTGGATGGGCTAGATCCTTTCAGGACTTCCTTCTTCGAGGCAGTCGATTGCCCTCTCTCCACTTAGTCCCCACCTCCTCACTTGCACCCAGGAAGGCGATTTCTGGGGGAAAGCTACTTTTGGTCGAAGATTTGCCGAGTTTGACGACAGCTACCTCTAGGCGCGCATTTCACACATCCATCTCCTCCTACCTGTATTCCGCAGCCTCCTCCTTCCCAGGTTCTCATAATCCCTGCTACCCCTTGGTTCTGGTGGTGACTGATTCCACCCAGTCTTCTGGGCCCTTATCTGCAAGCTCTTTAGCAGAAGAAGAATCCAAAAACATGTCTTCCATGCACCTTCATCAAATCATCCCACTCGACATCCTCTCTCATCCATCCTGCAAGCATGTTCGGTAGGTCATCATGTGTCATCCTCGACTCCTAATGGAAGACCTCTTGTTGACTAATATCTTTTGAGTTAGATTTAACCCTGTAGCCCCCGGCCTGATGTCCCGAGCCTTGAAATATATTTCTGAAGCAGAGAACCTTAGTCTTCCCTCCTGCGCCATCACCTCGATTGTCTCCTCCTCTTCTGGGGACCTTAGGGCTGCCATCAATACCTTGCAGTTTGACTCTGTTGGGTATTCCGAGGAAAAGAAAGGAAAGAAGGGTCATGGCTTCCGCTCTACCGCAGTTGCATTTTCTTCATCACTGTCTTCCTCTTCGGTTCATTTTCATCATGCCCTCGGCCGAGTATTTTACAAAAAATCAGGAACGACTCAAGAGACCTTGGCCAGATCCACCAAGGTAAGTAGGGCTCCTTGAGACACCATTCATTACTCGACCATCCTCCTTTAATGATATTGACATCTACTTTTTTTGCTTGCAGAGTATCCTAGAAAGTATCTCAGGGGATCTAGATGATTTTACTATCCATCTCCATCATAACTACCCCCCATTTTTGTCAAGACTTATCTGAGGTTGTTGATGCTTCAGATGATCTTAGTCTGGCCGATAACGCTATCCCGGACTGGAAGGTAAA